TCGCATATCTGCATCACTACAAGTTTCATGAGTTAACTATTGTATATTATCCCAACCTTTCATAACATGAATACATCCATTCTATCGCAAAATCCAAGAAGTCATATTCAATTTATTATATTAATTATAATACCAAGCTTACACAACATAAACACATATTGCAAAACGTGAGACTCAGTGAGTGTCGGATCAAGTTGAACTTGACAATATTTCAATCAGTTCGGAATCTGATGTTCCTTGAACTTAAAGACTTACATGAAAGAACAGAAAAACCTTGCATGTGATCTTAGAAGAAAATTTAAAGATCTGTTAATATTTGACAGCAAAGTGCAGCGGACACTCCAAAAACACGTACAAAAATCCTGCTTAACTACAACAACACAATTAAATGAAAACACGTGCAAAAATTCAATATTAAAAGCAGTGTCACCCATAAACTGTGAAAACACAAACCTTAGTTCGAATCCCACTCAACTCGGATAACCAAATAACTCTATATTAATGCAGGATTGGGCTATTCGAACTTAGATGATGTCTCAAGGCCATTGACCGAGTAAGAGGGAAAAAAAAATTAAATGCAAAGCACAAATGACACTCCGAAAATAGGCAAAACAAGCGTAGTAACTAGATCGACTACAGGGATAAACTAATGCGATCAAGACAACATTTCAGTCTGTCATTGTATAAGTTGTCCAATGATGGTATCAGTTTGTCCGTCAAACGTCGGGTCCTTGTACTCTATATAACTTTCTATTACTTCATATTCGCGCAGCAGGAGACTTCGCAAATATTTKATGGTCGTRTCCACAAGCCCATCCATGAGTRTTTTGAGTGATGGTTKCTTCATGATCCTCCTTCGGAATTCTTGCCGKCGTCGTTCATCGATGTTGTYTGMATTGGAAACACTTGCACTTGCAAAATAGTCATTATGAATAAGGAAAGATACTTTGCATCGACCTCGAACAGTTGCCGCTGCACAAAACAAGGTCATCACGTTGAAATTGTTGTGGCAGAATTTGACTGCTGAATAATACAATTTCGAAAAGGGTGCGAGCACTTCTCGCGGGTATGTTCTCCTTTCACAACACCTCCGGCCACAAATATACAGTGACTCTCGAGGAGAATGTTCCCAGTCTTCCGGTGGGGCATCCACACCTTTAACACTAAGTACTGCACTGTCAAAGATCACTTCATATGTGAAGAAAACTGGACCCATATCATGCCATATATTTCTTCCCCACACCATGTTACTTGGCGGCCATCCAGTCGTCACAAATGGTTGAACCATTTTGCAACACATGAAAATACAGTTTAAATATATATAAATGAAAGCTCAATGACAACTAAACAACGTACTAATTCGTGTAAAGAAATACGATTAGCTCTTCTTCAAAACCTATTTAAAACCTACCGATCTTCATTATTGGGAAGTGAAAGGCATACCAATGCCTTCTCTCTGGCCGATTTTGGAATGTGCACTCCATTTTCTAAATGCAATGTCTTTGATGTCTAGCTCCACACAACACAGTCTCCATGCTGCCACTGCTGTGATGTTGTGTTGTCTTTCTTCCACGTCTTCTTCCATGCGTTCGAATATTGCACAAAAAGACGTTTAGCAATAGGTTGTGGCACCCAATATTCAATAAGAATATGATTGAAAGTTGACGACTTCATATCGTTGTCTACATCGGAAATGACTCTACCCATCCATACAGGAACTCCCTCATCGATATCATCTTGGGAAGGAAGCAAGTGGGTTGAGCTCCGCCTTTGGATGCTCATTAGCCGGTCCAACAAACAACGGCTCCTTGTTCTCATTGCTCGTAAAGAGGAAGGCAATATTAATATCATCTGGATCATCCTTCTTAAGTTTGTCTTGTGAGGGCCAAAAACCAGCCTTGAGTGAAGTTTTCGCAAACCCACACCCGTAATGCTCCTCGACTGTCTCGAGGAAAGTTTTCTTGTGTGAGAGAGCACTCTCCTTTGAGAAGCTAACCTCATCTTTCATTCCCAACCACTCCTGCCGCTTGTTCTCCAACCACCACACAAACGTCTTCACACCTTCAATTCCCGATTCGAAATCCGAATTCCTATCTTTAGTAGGCAGAGAAGCTGACGGGGGAACAGGTGATGACACGAATGGCCATTCGGGTCCAGCATATGCTTTGTTTCCATCTCGCTTAAAGCAATAGACAGGAGCAGACCATTCAGGAGAAGTGCAAGACTCTTTCCACTGGAACACAGGATTGTCATCCTGCATATAAAAACTAAATGCATGTGGACGAGTATGACCGGTCAGTCTCTTGAGCAGGAAGGGCTTAACAACGGCTCACCAATCAACAATTTCATCCATGAATGTACACGATGGACGTTTTTTTTAGAACTGGCAACGAGCTTGAAGAGGTCGAGTATGGTATATGCATCGTGCATTTTCAGTTTGCGAGAGAAATGACTGAAAGTGGCATCAACGTTCGTATGTGTGTGTCCCACTAACATAAAACCAAATTCGACTTCTTTGAAGAAACCAAATTTCACCAAAGTTGCAGCGAGTGTCAAAACGTATCTGTTTTTGTTTTCTCTCCAACAGTTGTCAGCTTGTATCCTATGTTTAGGAGGCAAGTCGCTCGTCGGCTGGATGTCGCGGAGAACTTTCATAATGGATGACACTACAACATTAGAATCATGTGGATAGCAAGGGTACCATGTGTGAACATGGACCGATGGTGAGCGGCCGTGTGCAATAATAGCTGTTAGATTCGTTTTCAACATCGGAATATTTGTGAATGCCTTCGATTTGTTCCCTCCGCCAAAGTGTGGAATGCTGGTTTTGCTTTGGTCCATGCCGTCAATGATGATGCACAAACTCTTGGAACCCGGTCTCTTCGACTCATCCTTCCATACCTCATACGCAACACGATGTTGGAGCTGCAAGTCCAAGTGTTTCTCGTGTAACGAAACAAAGTACTCACGCACACGCACGAACTTTGCGGAATTGATAGATTATTTGTATTCGACACATTTCTCGCATTTCGCAAAGTTTTGATCAATGTCATGAAATTTCACATGCCAGAACTGCGTTCTCCACATGTTGTAGAAAACTTGGAGAGAAACACAAGGAGCACCAATGTTGTTGAATTGTGACTTTAGCAACTTATAAATATCAACCTTGTTATAACAAGCAGACAATCTCAACACCGCTCTCGATTCCCCCTCTTTGATCTTCATGTCATTGGGCATGGAATCTCCGTTGTCTTGCACAAAGGAGCTTAGTTTCCCGTACATCGTCGAATATGTTGCTGATGTGCATCTGAGTCCAGTACTGCTATGCTCCGTCATATTGTAGCCTTTTGACAAAGTCATCCTTTTTTTGAGAAATGTATTCCTGCATACACCTAGTGTGAAACACCAAACACTAATGCACACCTTTCGTCTCCCCACAATAAGTTGAACAATCTCTTTTTCATCTTCTATGAAGGTGAACCTCTTCAACGTTTCAACCCACCATGCATCCCTGCTCTGCTGGTTTTTAGAGTAGTATGCGCTCCGGACAGCTTTGATGTCGTCCAGGGTCACTTGAGCGTAACACTCTCGCTTACAACAAACCTGCCCACGCACACTCGCCAATGCTTTTTTGGTGAGTTTTCTTTGAACTGATTGCAAAATCTTCTTTGACTGCGGCATTCTGAGACGAAAAGTATAAGGACGCTTCTCTAAGGACAGATATTTTGAAAAAATGTCATCGAAATCAGAGATCACAACACAATTCTCATCGTCATTTCGACAACAGTGGTCACTATTCCGGTCAGCGTACGTTTGCGGAAGATCGGTTTTATCTGGAGAACTATCAACACTAGACGACACCAAAGCACTTGAATCTGAACCACCTTCATCACTCTCACCAAACAGAAGACCTGTGTACTCGAAATCTCGAAGTGAACTCCTCGGCACCCATACAACACGATATACATCGGATGCGTTATTGTCAGCAGAGGAGACCCTACCCTCGTCACCGTCAGCACTCTCTGCATCACCGGTTCGAACCGGGCATCGAAGGACGGGATACGCACTTTCACATGTAGTGTCCGCACACACAATATTTCGTGACCTCTTATGAGCAGGAGATTCCGGAGTATTATTGACACGTTCGTGACCACTTCGAACATCTTGTGAACGCATTGGCAGGTGCGGTGGAGGAAAATCCTCATTGAGCATTGTATTAGACGCCACACAGTCCATGCTTTCCAAGGTTGTGCTGCAAGCCTGCCGTGGCATAGCATGCACACCACAAGCCATGCACGAGACGTGTTTGCGACAACAAAACAGCGGACCACTGTCAAAGGCGAAAATCAGAGGTCAATGAAATGGAGCAGACAACCATCCCTACACAACAGCGAGAAACACAACCCTACAAATGAACCTGAGAAACACAACCCTACTTTGGACGGAGGGGAACAGGAAACATCCGAGAGAGGATAACACACGACCGTGGAATCTGGGCAGCAATGCAGTCATCAGGCCCAATCCATGCCAAAGGCACACTGCACGAGAAAGAGTATGTCCAAGTCGGAGATCGAACGACAGTGGGAAGCGTAGCACATGTCGAGTCGGGGCACCAGCAACAGAAAACACAGCGTGCAACATCATTGAAAAGGTGGAGATCTTGACGCGCGACAGGAAACGCAGCACATGTCACGTCGGGCACCAGCTTCGGAAAGAGTTCGTTCTACGGCACAAGACGGGTTTCCAGAAAGCCAGGCTGAGAAGGCAAACGTCTGCGGCAACGTCAATGTCGCGCTCAACACGACAGGAGCTCCATTGTATATTATCGCAATCTCGCGACAAGCAATCCGTGCCACAAGAGACAAAAGACAGTCGCCCGGGCACTATGTTCTGCTGGCACAACTCGCACTAAACTCTGTGCAAGTCGAACGAAGGTGGGGGTCGTGGCGAAAAAGAGCAGGGTGTTCGACACGACGGTGATGGCGTTCGACACGACCAAGATCGCGTTCAACCGTGGCAGACACGACGACCACCGTGCTCGTCACGACGGCCACCATGTCCGACCCGACGACCATCCCGGCCGACCCGGCGACCATCGTGTCGGACACGACGACCATCGTCGACGATCGTGTCGGACACGAAGACGACCGTGCTCGATACGATGGCGGTTGTGTTCGACAGGACGACGGCCGTGTTCGAGACGACGACGATCGTGTTCGACACGACGTCGGTCACGACGACGGCTGTGCACGACACAACGACGATCGTGTTCAACGAGCCGGACACGACGACGAGGGTTTCGACACGACGACGGCCGTGTTCGACAAGATGGCGATCGTGTTCGACCCGACGACGATCGTGTTCGACACGGCGACGATCGTGTTCGACACAACAAGGATCGTGTTCGACACGACGACCGTCGTGTTCGACACGACGACGACGGTGTCGGACTCGACGACGATCTTGTTTGACACGACGACCAGCGTGTCGGACACGACGACGATCGTGTTCAACACGACGACCATCGTGTTCGACACGACGACGACCTTGTCGACCATCGTGTTCGACACGACGACCACTTCGGTGGGAGTGTTCGAGAAAACTTGTTGACGTCACCGATAAACCAGCACTGAACACGGTCGTCCACGGAGGCTTTACTCTTTGTCTCGCGAGGGGGGGGGTGAACCGTGTTGGCCGAAGCGGCACTTACCTGGAGAGCGGGGCAGTTGTCGTGTCGACGTTGGCGGACCGCTGCGCTGATTCTTCCAGAACGCGAACAATGAGACAATGTCGCGGGTGCTCATGAGCGCGAATCGCATTTCTGCTCAGCAGCTGAACGTCATCCCCGCGCCTCCGCTCTGGCCGAGGGGGGAAAACGATCGCGACCAACTACAGTCATTGGATCATCCCGACCGTTTGTATTCCCAGATCGGACGGCCAGCAGGCGCGCGCGGAGGGCCCACCCGAAAAACAACATATATGAGGCAGACCCACCACTCCCCATTGGATCATCCCGACCGTCAGTATCCCCGAATCGGACGGCCAGCAGGTGCCCGCGAAGGGCCCTCCCGAAAAACTATATATATGAGGGAGGGCCACCAGTTCCCATTTTTGTTTCAGTTCGGCAACGCAGCAGTAGCGCAACGCAGCGGAGGCTCGTGCCATAGCGCAGCGCAGTGGAGACTCGTGTTCAGCGCGGCAACGGAGCGCAGGGATTCGGTCCATGCATAGAAGACCACCTGCTCAACGCGATGGCAGACCACAGCGCTGTCGAGAGGCGTGTTCAGCGCGACAACGGAGAGAGCATACGACCCAAGATAGCGACGCACAACCACAGCGGAGCAGCCCGAGTTTGAAGGATCGGACGGTGAGGACACAACCACGCAGCCCAGATGCAACCACGTAACACCACGTGGCACTTCCGGTCGTCGAGTCGAATACGATCGTCGATTATCGGGCACTGTCGTGTTCGACTCGACGATTGGGCACGATCGTGTTCGACATGACAATCGGACACGATCGTGTTGGACTCGACGATCGGGCGAGATCGTGTTGGACTTGACGATCGCGCCCGATCGTCGAGTCCAACATGATCGTGTCCGATCGTCGTGTCGAACACGATCGTGCCCGATCGTCGAGTCGAACACGATCGTGTCGGATCGTCGAGTCGAACACGATCGCGCCCGATCGTCAAGTCC